AGAGCTAGTAGCAAATGGGTCCTGCCCTACTATTATTGAATCGACCCTGTCGGCAAACGCAACTATTAGGCGTTATAAAGTTGTTAAAAAAACTGTAATAATGCAATAAAGTGAAATAATGCGTTTTGCTTGCTTTTTTCTGTGCTCAATCGTTTACGATTCACTATCCTATCACGTGAATAATAAATGCCATTCTGAACGATTTTCTCACGATGTGCATGTGCTACGAATTCGGCTTTTTCTCATTAGGTAAGCGGGAGCGGTGTAGTGGGAGGTTTTCCGCTTATCACGCATACAATGCGGGGTCGAATCCAGGGTCCGATTCCACCGGGCCAGCAATCCTTAAACCTATGATGACGGTAAATAAGTAGCAGACTCGTCCGGGAGGAGATCAACTCTAACTTCTAGAGACAACATGCTTCTAGACATGATGCATCACCTCCTCTCGCTAGCGATTTCCTAGGTCATATCCTCGAGAGTCACTATGATTCTGAATGTGAAAAGTGATTTACGACCAGAGCTTTGCATTTTTCAAGTATATTCTGCGGTAGTTGGTCTGATGTGAAACAATCATCCAGTTTGCGCAGTTGCAGGAGAAAACTCCCGTTACTGTATGTCAACTGAAAGCTTTGCTCTAGAGACCATCCCCGCGATTAATTAACATGTGGAACACCTCCGGGTAGCCAGGTTCGTAGTCGCCATGAGTTCACCATTTCCGTCATACGAAGGTGCGAGCTGAAGACGCCACACAAAGGCCTGGCATACATGCACATTGTCGTGACTTCCGTGCGACTCTTTTTAAAGGATCGCATTTATGGTAGGCGCTGCAGTCCTGGCGCGCTTGGTGGGGAGTGCATTTAAGCGCAGCTAGGACACAGAGGCGGTGTCGACTCAAGCCGCCATTCCTTCGTCGTGCTGTCATGCCGATTGGTCGTCCTCTCCGCTCTTCGTCCAGCCGTGCTGGTTGCTGTTAGTCAACGCTCAGGGAGCTGTAAATTGCGAGGGAGCCGAATAACAGTAGGGCCGCTGAACAATCCAGGTAACCGTTAGGAGCGGAAGTACATCCGAACCTCCTGAACAGCCGGAGAGAGGATGTTTCCAACGCCTTAAATGGGCTGCAGGATTCAACAGTGTTCGCTCGCCGTAATTTTTTTCATCATTTCTCTTTCAAATATTTAGTTAGTTTATTTAAATCTAGAGTGGTTAATAACTTGGTTGGTTTTGTTGTTTTGTTGTTTCATTGTTTCATCGCATTCGGTATTACCGTTAAATTCATTGAATAGTCCCTCATCAAATTATTTGATAACCAGTTGCCGGTTCGAGTCAGGCGTTGGTGGCGCTCTGGGCTGTCAGCTGTGCGAGTAGTCACTATTGAGTAGAGCTCGTGGAAGGGACGTAGGTGAGTCGTGCAACACACTGAACGCCGCGGCTTTTGGGCGGTTTTTGCTGTGCTCTCATTCGCGCTCTGCACCTCCACGCGCATGAATTGTCTGCAATACAGAAGGCGACGTAACGGGAGACTTTGTGCCGCAGGTAGGCCCTTTGAGCTTCTGCTCTTATTTGCGCTTATTTTATGAACGTTATACAATAGAAATAAAAACTGTACATGTATGGATCTAGAAAACGAAGTGGAGAATCTCAGCGTTAGTATCGGCAACTTATTTTAGTAGTTATGAAAAGGAAGTTGATGACCCGGAAGAATTTGGAGACAGACTTGTTGCTGACGCTTCGGATGGCGACGATGACAATAAGGAAGGAGAACTCAAGCAAATGAAACCCAACCATAACAAGACTAACAGGGCCACCATTTTTTGGAGCATAAGCGTTAAGGGCAAATCAATCAGTAATGCAATCACGCCGTTGGACTGGTATTCCTTTTCCGCGTAAGGCCTTACTAACTTATAGAAACCAATGGATACGAGGAATAAGACAGCGCAAGTTCCGGCAAACTAAGCTTGGAAAGTGAAGAAGGATTGATTGTGAATGGTCATTTGAGGTGCAGTTAGCGTTCTATGGAGTGCTACTTTGTAACGTGGGTGGAACGACCCCGGTGAACACCTTTCTTCAAGCCATAGGGAATATAGATCAAGTAGAACCTATTGAACAGATATTTGAGAGAATGACCATGGTAATTCAGGGAGAAATTGTCCTACAAAACGTGAATTGTAAGCAATACACAAACGCACGGAACGGGAGTAAGCGCGTGAATTGTTGGCAGCATTAGCATAGTAATACCGAGATTGCACGATGAAGGAAGTTGGACACTACTGTACAAAGAGCCGCCAGATCGTCCACTTCTTTCGTCCACTTTTAGAAAAAGTGTTCGTAATACTTTACTTTTCGTTCCCCTGGAACTCGTACTTTCTATTCAGAATGAAGGACGATTATTAAGCAAAAATGGTAATAATAACGAAATATTGATGCAGAAAAAGGTAATTCGATATAGTGTGATATAATACAATGTGACATACCATGTTATAATATAATATAAAATAACTTGTAAATACAATATAACATAACATGGCGCAATGAGTGCACTCGTCCTCTCAGTGTGATATCATACAATGTGACATACCATGTTATGACATAGTATAAAATAACTTAAAAATACAATATAACATAACATGGCGCAATGAGTGCACTCGTCCTCTCAGTGTGATATCATACAATGTGACATACCATGTTATGACATAGTATAAAATAACTTAAAAATACAATATAACATAAAACGGCGCAATAAGCGCACTCGTCCTCTCAGAGGATGATGGGGGTTTGAGTCTCCTCTAGGGCTTGACGTTTGCCCATAACTCGGTATTCTTGTGATAAATCGCGATAGCTTGGAAAATTGGCAACAGTGGCTCAGAAGGACTCCTCCCGAAAGAGAATTCAAGAACGCTCGTTTCCCGTTACTTCCCAACAGGTTGGTGATTGCTACAGAAATGAGGGTGCTTTATTTGAAAGACAGATAGAGCGCATCGTAAAAGCTTTTACACGCTGGATGGAACTGCGTGAATTGTTGACAACTCACGCGCCGTACAGTGTGTTAACATCAGGTACGTGGCCGTAGTGACCAATACGTAGGGGCAGTAAGAGCGTGATTGCAGATAGCAGCAACGGCAGCACCTGCGGGGCAAAGTCGTGGGCAAGAGGAGGCAAACGCTCTGTACAGCTCTTGGTCGTGCTCGAGTCAAGCGCGACTCTCCAGGTGCTCAAATGGCCGAGAGGTTGAGTTGCTCCGGCACGACACACATGTAGTTCACACTATGGACCTATACCGTTAATTACTACGCATGGGTCTCGTTGCAGACTCTTCTAAGCGCTTCTAGAGGGGACTGTAGCTTGTTGGCTTTCGTAATTTTCTGCTTTTCCAGGATACGTTTTTTGTAAAATAGCCGCCCAGTCTGATTGGCGACGAAAGAGTGCTTGGGCGTGCGTAGATTCACCAACACTGCAATTGCACGAGCGTAGTGGTTCGCCGGTGTGTTGTTGAGCATTATCATAATTTCGTGAACAGAGTTCTAACGAAATATTTTCTTCTGCAAACTTTATCCCAGTACCTTTTGTTTTCGTTTTTTTTTAATGTTGGATAGCATTTAGTACTGGATGACAGCAGAAAACGTTTTGTCAGACATTAGCTGAACAGGGGCCGCTGTGCCGATTTGCCAACAAGCCCGAAAAACTCGTACAATGAGACTGTAGCTGTCAAGAGGGATCCTCATTTGACACATTCTCAATAAATTTCCTTTCTTTTTCCCCCGCTAAAAGTCATTCAACGACTACAGGTGTTTAAGTAAGCGCGATATTGGAGGATTTTCTTTCCCCGATCATTCCTTTTTCTTTGTTCCTGGATGTCTTCAAACATACCAGAACGTTGCTCGTGAGTGCAAACCGAAGGTGGCGTTGACGTACGTGAAGGATGAGCCCCAGAGCAAATCATCGTTTGGTATTCCCCAAACCGCAAAATGTCAACAAGCGGGAAGACTTTTGCCCAACACCGCAAATTTTTCCCACAAGGGGAGGCCACCAACTCGTCATGGCCATTCAGAATGAGATGTATACTCCTAGAAGCGTCTTCGGACGCTGATATCAAGATCTGGCTTCCAAATCTGCTAAACGATTCTGGGTGAGGAGTTACGGACCTTTTTTGCTACTGTGCTTAACCATTGCGGTGCGCCCCCTGCTATACTTTGTATTGTATTGTATTTGTATCCAGTCAGAATGAATCGCCCTCCTAAACTCACTCACGGGGCTCAATAAGAGAGGGGCCTCGATGGTCGAACTGGTACGTAAAACTACTTTCCAAGTGTTTAGCATACGTTTCAAGAAAAAGCAAAACTACGAAATGCATCAAGGATTCGAACCTTCGTCCCACCGCTATGAGTCCGCTCACCTACCTGCTGCGCCATCAGAGCAAGGCAGTTGTTGTGTCAGTAGTGGTCCACAAGCGCAAAGTATGGGGATGGCCGCAATGGCTAAGCACAGTACCCAATAAGGTTCGTAACTTCAGCAACGTTCAGCAGATTTGAAAGTCAGATTTGATACTCCAAAGATGGTTCTAGCAGTATACATCTTATCCTGGTCATGGCGAATTGGTGTCCTTCCCTTGTGAGAGAAATTTGCGGCGTTGGGAAACATTATTCCTGCTTGTTCACATTTTGCGGTTTTTCATGTTCCACATATGACTGACAGCTCAATCGTTTCAGAGGAGGGAATTAGAAGGATGGGGGATCGTATCAAGCCACCCTTTGGGCAGCAGGGGATTGTACGGAATCGACTAAATCCCCAACTGATGATGTGCCCTATGAGCACCGCCGTCTATGACAAGTCAAACCAAAATTTTCTGGCCTACAATTACGCGAAAGGATAGCTAAGAATTCGACTCCCGGCAAATGCTGTGCTTCTTTGCACGTATTGCTGCTCCGATGTTCCACACTACAACATGTTTGTAACTCATGATTGATCAATGAGTAAAAAAAATGTCGGTACACGTAAAGGATCACTTACCATTCACATTTCTGTCCTATTTCAATGACGAACGACATCAACGGAGATGTCAGTGCGTTCTTCTCTCTCTTACAAGAGGGGTCAGGGTCCTGAAACATTCGTTTAATCGCCTGTTGTATGTAAACAACTCATCGTGGGAGACTGTTCATGTACGAGGCGTGATCGGATGGTGCGGAAGATATTGCTGTTGGATCGCATTGGCCGAATGCCACTCACATCACACCTTGTCTATGCATCGCATCTTTACGTTAGACAACTCGCCCAAACCACTGTATTCGTAGTCATTGGGTTGCAGAATCACTGTCTTATAAACCGCTGACATGGCCTGTCGGCTTACAATCTCGGTCTCTCGGTATGGATCGAAACATCTGCAGACCAAAACGAGTTTGCACTTCTGACACAACAGTGGTTCTGCAGTCCGAAAAACTAAGAATTTGAGTGGTGCGGCCAAGTTGTCCGTCCTTAGCAAACTATGTTATGGAGACACTGTGGGGGTGGCAATAACGGCTGATGAGCCTTAGTGCTAGTAACGGTCGCACCATTCGTCATACGCCCTTTATGTAACAACCTTGAAGCTGGGTTTGAGTCAACTATACGCAGGGCGAAATGTGCCGATTCGGCAAACAAGAACGAAAGCGATTGTCCTGCTACACAATCCCCAACGATCTAACCAAAGTTGAATGTGTCATTCAAGCGGCTATATCGCTAACGTGAAGGTAATAAGGAAGTGAACATATGGGGAGGGGAAGGGCTTTTTAAGTACCAGCCGTAGTACTGAGGATTTGGGCTGGGCACCAGTTAACCAGAATTTGGGCTTGGCTTAATGATGATAAGACATTCCGAATAGCAAACCACCGCTTGTGCCTCACAGGTCATGGTGAGAACTGCTCAAGAAGGTCAAGGTTTTGAGCCACTTTTAGGAAGTCATGGCAAGCTTTAGCAACAGTGACCACGATTCCAGTGCAAGGAGTGGCCTTGTAATGAATAGCATTTTCTCAATAAAATTATTTTGATGTTTCACGAATGGTATACTTGCGCGTTTATTACGACGCACTCCTATTAGCACCGACGGAGAAGGACCTCGTTGAAGTGAAGGCCACAACAGAGGGCGCCTGGATAGGTGAAGATGACGGCTTTTAAAGAACAGCGGATCCTGCAATTTCGTGGGGTTGACGCTAAGGAGAAGAAGGGTTGCACAGAGGCCGCAGGGTGGTGCGACGGTCAGCGAGCCATTTTCTTTGTTCCGTTCTTGTAGATTCTTTTTGCTTCGTCTTCGTTGAGGAACCGCTTACCAGCTACTGGATTATAACTGAACAGCAACTGTGCATGATAGTCGATTACGGAAACTGTCTTCAAGAAACGAACAAATGGCTGGAAGATTTGCCGAATGTTTGTTTCTTTCTTGAAGACAGGATTTGCATTCGCTTGATATTCCTTTTTACACAACAAACTTGTGGCATAAATGTATCGAAGCAAAAGTAAAGTCATCATTTCTAACCAGTTCTAAGACGTAGGCATTGGCAACAGCCTTGTGATATCCCAACGCCCTGAAATTGTGTTTAATTGGAATTTATCGAAGAAACTAAAAGTCATTAGTGAAATGAATCCTGAAATTGTAAGAGGTAACAATAACAGTACAGCTCAATAACCGTACAGCTAACTGCTATTACCACACATGTACATATAGCGAGGAATGACTCTCACCACTCTTCTCCTGTTAGATACTGAGAAAAGCCTGATGCTGTGGCACAGCACTGTTCATCGTCCGCAACCCTTTGCTTGGAGATGATGTCATACATTTTCGAACGGGGACCACTACTCTTGTACGTTGATCCGGACATAGATCCTGACACGACGTATGGCGCAGGTTTCGGCGCATTGTGAACTTTATAGAAGCCGGACATATCCGTGTCTGGTCTGAAAATGTTCCATTTTTTTGCCGTTAGATGAACCTGGGACTAATGAATGTGGTCAGAAGCACTTTAATAAGGAGTGCAAACCATCTTCATCAGTTCGAAGACATCGAACAAAGAGAGTTCGTAGGGAAGTTTACACAAGTTGGAGGGTTGAAGAGCCTTTTTATTGTTAGTCCGAATGGGAGATGATCCGGGACTTGAATTTCATACCACGACGACAAATGACGCTACTTGCCGATGCACCGTACTGGACCAGGGATCACCACACGGAAAGTTGCGCGGCCGATACGACTGTGTGATATATTAGGTTGTCCCAAAAGTTCGTGGACATTTTTTGAATCTCGTATCAGATCTTTCCGCAGCCATTTCGAGATCCAGTTATGTGGTCTATGGGAAGTGTTAGGTAAGCGTCCCACACCTTCTTCACCGTCCCTCGCAGTCGCTGTTCGCTTATGAAAAAAGGTAATTGAAATTCATCATTTTCGACACACTTCGCTATATGAATCTCTACCAAGCCACGCCGTGGTTTGGAGCCATAAGCAGCATTTCCCTTATTGATCTGAGTACCTTCCCTACAAGTCCTTGGAAGCCCCAACCTGCTTCCGCTTTAGGTGACTTTCGCGGGGAAAACACTTCGTCTAAGGAGGGCCACCTGCCTTGGATCTCTGAGAACTCGTACTTGTTTACTTGATAAAATCAATACGTACAAAACTAACTTGCTATCTAGGTCTTCACACTTGACTGACTTCGCCCCCCCGAAAGCACCAATGGCAAAAGGGCCTCGATCGCCGTTTCAAAAAGTTCTGAAGTTTCGTTTAAAATCTTTTTTCATGAATTGACACCTAAACACTCGCCAAGAGCAATGTGGGTACTCGTCTACAAACTTTGTCTCCAGCTTCCAGCTGCTACAGACTGGCGCTGGACGATATAGCTGTAACTGGATATGGAGTAGGTGCCTCCAAGGTGTAATGCATGCCCCGAAGCGGCAGCGCTAGATCACCAGAAGGCGGAACCGCAGTCGCGCAGATCCATCCATCGCAGTAAGGGAGGTGAGCTGCATGTATGTGGTGGAGTATTCCCTTTCTCGCTTTTCATATACGAGAAATTTCTTCTTCTCAGCGTTGTTTGGTGAAGCTAATCAAACAAGCTGTTGCAATAGGAGGATTGAAGCCATCGCTCACAATTTGTCCAAAACCAGCAATGTTTGCCTACTCCACCACAGCTCAGGGTCACACATTTGGAAAACGACACTGCTCGAGATCCCGAAGCTTAGCTGGGGAATTCCACCACAGTCTTCGTGTAGCCCTGACTTAGCTCTTTCCGATCGCCATCTAAACTAATCCCACAGCGGCCATCTTTGGGAAAAAATACGATTTTTGATAGTACCTCAAAAATGACCCAGCTGCCTTTCTGGGCACAGAACTAAGAGGCTTCTGGAAGCAGGGCAACCACACATTGCGTAGTGATTGGCAACAAGTTGCCAATGAAGGTGACATATATATAGTTGATCAAAATTGCTTCCCACTGGAATAAACTTAATTCGAAAAAATGTTCGAAAATTCCACGAACTTTTGGGACAACCTAATGGAATAGTTGGTGACAGAAAGTGATAACATAAAATAGAGACCAATTGCGTTGTATTCACCCGATGAACACCGCTCATGGGAAGCATATGAATGATGTAATTCAAGTAACAGAACCTCAGTAATCGAAACAAGCCATTATATCACTCGTTGAATGCAACATGTGCCATCGCTGACTTGACCATGTTTCGAAGAAGGAATGGTGCAGCTATGAGATAGTGAGCAGTAGATGGATTCATCACTGATATAACAATCAACTTTCATTGAAATTCAGCGAGAACCATTTCACTGCTTGGGTTGGGTTGCAGGAAATAGTAAGGCGCTCCTAAAGCAGGAGGTGCATGAAACAGTAGGGACCCTCAGCGATGGGGGATGAAGGCAGCAGTATGACACATTACGCCTGGTTTGACAGATTGCTTAGGTTTTTTAAAGAGTTTTTGCTTTCCATTTCTGGAAAAGACAGAGG